AATAGAACGTAATTGATGGACACTGTGTTGAATGTTTTATGAAGGAACAAGAAAAAAGAAAAAAAGAGAGAAAGTGCCGTCAGCTAATCAGATTTTTAATTGAGTTAACGAAGTCAGATGTTCACTGAGGTTTTTTGATCTTTACCAAAATAAATATATCAATAAATCCTGCCTAATCTGTTTCTTGAGCTTCATCATAACTGATACCCCATTCATGAACAGTTTATGTTGAGATAACTAATTTTAAACCTCAAACTCTGTAAATAAGTAAATACAAAATTATAAGGGAATAAGCTAGCTGCTTAAAATGATTTAATATTATAAATAAATTGAACAAGCTGTTTCTTTTCAAGAAAAATGCATGAGATTTTTTTTTAAAAAAATACATGAATGAGAATTCTTTAGATCTTTAATATACATACCAGTTAACCATGTACTGTACATATTTAAAAGCATGTAAAAATAAAATAATTTCTTGGTGGCTTTGAACATCATACAAATTTTACCCTAGTAGCTTGAATTTGTGCTAGATATACCAGTTTCTCCAAGGCAGGTTTTGTTAACTCCTCCAAGACAGATCTTATTTAAAACGATAGGTGGGAAGTATTCAAATTTTAGGCCCATGCTAAAGAAAGACAGGATAAGGTTTGCTGGAATTCCAAAATTAATTTGCTTCTGCAAAGAATTTGTGAAACATACAGACTTCGTATTAACCTTCCTGAACACTGCCACATGACACTGGAAGACAATAAAACCACTGAGTTCTATAGAATGATTGAGGGAGGGAATGGAAGATAGTGCTTATCATAAAACTGACTTTGTACAGTGCAAGGGGCAATGTAAGCCTCAAAACTGGACACTGTTCACTTTGGAACAATACGTTTCAAGGCAAAGCATCATCTTTGGTTGGCACCCACGCAGAACAAAAGATAGGAGCACAGATTTGAAGGTGCAGACATGGGAGGGAATCGGGCTAATCTAGGGCATATTTGTTGTTGTTCCATCCTGCTTGGATTTTGATTGTAAGGGGCACAATATTTGTGTGTGTGATGATGATAAGCATGTCCTTATGAGCCTACGTAAGGCCAAAGGGATTTGGGGAGTTGTATTTTAAGCAGGTAATTTTTATATTTCCCATTCTGCGAATGTTGGAAGGTATGTAAGGGTCTTATCCAGTTATGAAATTTGTACAGGAAACGAGGACACTGATTTTTCCTGGCCAATCGGATCTTCTTCTGTCAGTTACACAGGCCCCCCAATGTCTCGTTGGGAAAAGCTTAGTTGATAGTTATTATGGAGTCCAGCCTTTAGACGAGTCTCTTATAAAACTCCCCTTGCCCTCCACCATGAGAGAGCGGTTGGGGGCTGTGCCACCGAGCGCTCAGGGGACAAAAACAACATCCCATTGATCCATTTTTATTGCTGAGAAATGGATCGGGGGAAGTGTTAGGGAGTAGCCCTTAGAGACCTGATCGGGGCACTCTGCAGATGTTGCAAACGACTGCTGTTCAATCAAGACTTTCAATGAAGCTGACTGAGTTTTAATTAGCTGAAGTGTGTGCCTGTGAGTCCATGCACGCATGTATTTTGATTCTGATAGGCCTGGGTTCTTTAACTACAATATGATAGGGAAGGGCGAGCTGCTCTCTTCCTGCTCTCTAGGGGAATACCATGTGAGTGCATTGCAACATAACCAGGTGTCTCCTGGCGCCTGAAACATGAGCAGATTTAGGCTACGGTCCTGTAACCAGTTCCTATTGAACTCAACAGACCAGAGCCTCTTTTCTGTAACTGTCCATAGGATCATGCTGTAAGGTTGCAGTCCTCAATGTGTTTACTAGTAAGTAAGATTCACTGGCTGTGTTGGCAGAGGATTCTGGGATTTGTACTCTAAAAAAGTAATTGCTTTGATCTATCTACCTGAGTAAATCATCTAGCACAGTGGTCTTCAACCTTGGGCCTCCAGATGTTCTTGGACTTCAACTCCCAGAAATCCTGGCCAGCCAAGGTGGTGGTGAAGGCTTCTGGGAGTGGTAGTCCAAGAACATCTGGAGGCCCAAGGTTGGGGACCACTGATCTAGCAGATCAAGCTCATGAAGAGATCCAGCCATTGGGCATCAATATACATCTCACCACACACTAGAATATTATCATTTGTACTGAGCAAGGTGACCTGGATTGGATTAAGGCCTAAGTACGTAATTGTGCCGACGCTGCAAAAAAACCTGTGGTTTATTAATCCCATTCACATATATGGAGTTGGAAGGAGATAAGATAAATTCTCTGTGTAGGCTGTATTCTCAGGCTATGGAATGGCTCCACCTGCCTTAGTTCCATTCTTTTTTGTCTCAGAAGTTGGAAATAAATACCTTATTGGTCAGTGGTACTCAGAAACTATGGGAGATATAAGTTGGCACATCTAAACAAATCCAAAAGCTCTTTCTTTATTCTTACAGGAGTTGGAAGGGGCCTGTAAGGCCACTCAGTCCAACCCACTGCTCAATGCAGAAATCCAAATCAAAGTGTATCTGAGAGACAGTTGTCTAATTTTCTTTTGAATGCTTTCAGTGTTGGGGCACTCACCACCTCCTGAAGCAATTGGCCCCATTATCATACTGCCCCAACAGTTAGAAAATTTTCCTGATATTCAACTGAAAACTGGCATCCTGTAACTTGAGCACTCTGGGATGTTTGAGAACAGATCCTGTCCCTCCTTTGTATGACAATATTTCAAGTGATCTGCAACAATTCCAAGATCTTTCTTGCTTGTAGTGTAACTGAGCCAAGCATTCCCCATCTGGTAACAGTTCATTTGGTCCTCCCCCCACCCACCCACACGCCCAATGTAGAATTTTGCACTTATCCTTGTTAAATTACTGAGCCAAGCATTCCCAATCTGGTAACAGTTCATTTGGTTTTCCCCCCAGCCACACACCCAATGTAGAATTTTGCAATTATCCTTGTTAAATTTCATTCTGTTGTTTTCGGCCCAGTGCTCAAGCCTATCAAGATCTTTTTGAATTTTGTTTCTGTCTTTCAAGATACAGTATCAGCTATTTTACCCAAATTTATGTCATCCGCAAATTTGATAAATATTCCTTGCACTCCCTCATCCAAGTCATTAATAAAAGCATTAAATAGCAGCAGGCCCAGGACTGATCTTATGGTACCTCAACTTATCTCCTCCTAGTTTGAGAAGAAGCCATTGATAAGCAGTTTCTGAGTATGGTTCTGTAACCAACTGCATATCCACCCGACAACTGATCTATCCAGCACCCATGTTATTAGTTTGCTAGTCAGAATATCATGGACCAGTTTGTGAAAGGCTTTGCTGAAGTCAAGATATATTATGTCTACAGCATTTCCACCGTCTACCAGGGAAAGTTAACTCATAAAAAATGGAATAAGATTCGTCTTGCAGTATTGTTCTTGACAAATTTGTGTTGGCTTCTAGTTTTTACTGCGTTGTTTTCAACGTGATTGCACAGTGATCAGTTTATAATTTGTAGGAATTTGCTTGCAGGATCAGAACTGCAGCTTGGTAAATAAGTTAGTTAACGTTGAACAAAAGCAACCCCAAAAACACATTCAAGGTTAAGAATCTCATTCTGGCAGGTAGTTCCTAAGGGAAAGCTTGCCTGAAGAGAAAGATATTCAGTGGTTTGCAGAAGGCCACCAAATGTGGAGTCAGACTGGTTTCCTGTGGGAGGGAGTTCCACATTCTGGGTGCAGTGACAGAGAAGGCCCTCTCCTGTGTTCCCAACAAATGCACTTGTGAGGGTGGTGGAGCCAAGAGAAAAATGTCTCCTGATGATCTTAACACCCAAGCAGGCTCATAAAGAGAGACATGATCCTTGGGATAACTTGAACCCAAGCTGCTTAGGGCTTTATAGGTTAGAACCGGGCAGTGGAGCTGCTATAACAGGGAGTTTGTGTGATCCCTGTGACCAGCCCCAGTTAGCAATCTCTGAAAATCTCAACAAGTTTGATCCTATTGTCTCAGGAGCAGATTACAAACTGCCTTATACTGAGTCAGACCATTGTTTCAGCTAGTCTCATATTATTGATACTGATTGGTAGAAGCTCTGCTGGATTTGTAAGAGTCCAAAAGATATTTTTCCCCCGAACTCTACTCAAACTCCATGGACAGGATCCAGCATCTTGCATTACGCCGATCTACCTTGATTCATAGCCATGCAGTGAGGTTTTATTTCATCTGAGTTTTGTTTCATCACTCCGAGGTTTATTGTGGATGCCCAACAGGTGATGAGATTGGAATATTCTACCTTGGGAAGTATTAGATTTAAGCAACTGTGACAATGTAATCAATTGGATTTGTTTCTTCTCACCTAACTCCAAAGAGGACCACCAAACCTACTCAGCTCCTACCAGCTGACCTTCTCCAAAAAGTGTGTTGTAATTAAAAAGCTTCTGGTCTGATCAGGTAGAATAATTCTTGCCTTATCTGAGTGGATGGCTTTCTCACCGATAAGGCTGCCTTTGGAAGAAAGGGCTACCCAACAGACTGAGCATTAAAATGGGATCAGGAGCACATGGGTTGAGTTCTTCCAGTGATCACATAGCTGATCTTGTTTGGGCAGGTCTCTCATCCTTTTGTCAGTGTCCTATTGTGACCCTTTGACCCTTCCTTCCTGACTCTGAAGTCACTCGAGATAGTAGACCTTGTTCTCACCCTCACTTTTAACCTCACAGAATCCGGAAGGAAAGGTACAGTAGTTGCGAAGGTGACTGGCCAAATCACCCAGTCAGTTTCATGCTTCAGTGGCAACTAGAATCCAACTCTTCCCGATCCTACTTCGATAGTCCACCTTATATTGTGGACCCAAAGAGAAACATGAGTCTTCATTAAGTCTAGCAAGATACCAGTGGTGTGCAGAGATGTACCCAAACATTCTCAACATTCTCCTTTGCAGGTGTTCCTTGCAACGTCTATCGTAGCTGACCTCCTTTCTTTTCTGCTTCTTTTTTTGGTCTTTCAGAGCAAGCTCCACATGGAAGGCTTTCGCAGCCTGAAGGAAGGAGAGGCTGTTGAATTCACCTTCAAGAAGTCCTCGAAGGGTCTGGAATCCATCCGAGTCACTGGCCCTGGAGGAGTCTTCTGCATTGGCAGCGAGAGGAGACCCAAAGGGAAAAATCTCCAAAAACGCAGATCGAAAGGAGATAGGTAAAGCCCGGCTCGGACACATCATCAGGAATTTGACAAACGTGTAGGCCTTTCAAGGAAATGCACAGCCATTAAACTTTGCCGATGACTGGATGTTTTGCATGCCCCAGTTGTATGCGGTAGCTGCATGCTAGTGGGACAGAGGTGGGCGGAAAGAGATTCTCTTAGTCATGCTGGCTGAGAAGGGCGGAAGAACAGCAGGATAGTGAAGGCTGCTCCATGCTGGCTCAGGGATTCTGGGATCTATGAGTAAAGAGAATCATTCTATGTTTTGCATAGGTATATGCCACAGAGAGCTGCTCAAGGTTTGTACATTTACATAACCACCAAGAAGCTTTTCAGCAGGATTTGTGAACCATTTCCACCCCGCTGCTCATAAGTGCTGAAATTTGTTTTAAATTCTCCCTTCCCCTGCTTTATTCCTTGTGTGTTGTGTCTCAGATTTGGGTGTAAGCCAAGTCTTATCTTCAGAACCAGTCTGGGGATAAAGAGCAGAATATATGTGCTGTAAATAAATACTGACATCAATGCTGGCATGAAAATCTTCAGGCTAACCAGCCTGGAAGATGCCACTCTGCCCACGTTTGAGCCAGGAAGCTCCAGAACCGATGTACCCAAGGAAGCTTCCCTTCACATGCTGTACGTGGGGGACTGTTTTCCCCTCACTTCGCTTTGGATGGAATTGGCTGGCAGTCCATTCTTTGTATGAGATGCTTCCTCCGAGCTTTTTTTTTTTTCAAAATGAGCGGCAGATGAAAATTTTCAAGGAAAGGGCAAAAAACTCAAAGTAAAAGGTCACAGGTCAGAAACACCCGGGGCTGAATAGCATGGACCAATGCCTCCATTCTGTGAACATGTGTTTGCTGGATGGCGCCGTGTGGCCGATCGGTAAGTTTTCCGCTACTAACCCCCCACCCCAGCCTATTCCTTTTGTGCAGCCAGGTTCTGCAGCTTAGCAAAGAGAGAGAGAGAGAGAAAGATGCCATAATGGAGCCTCTCCATAGGAATATGTATAAAGACATGCCTTGTATTGAGTCTGTTGAGACCTCATTGGAATCTGTTTAGCTCAGTATCATCTCTTCTAACTTGCAGTTGTGTTCTGGTGTTTTTAAGCAGGACTGTCACTACTGTGACTCCTTTTAAGGCATTTGGAAGAAAAGGGAGTATAGATGGGAGAGAATGTTCCCATGCAGATAGGGTTAGAAGGATGTACATCTGTTGTCTTACATTAGCTGCCCATAGCCTTCTAGGAGTGTTGAGTGTCAACTCCTTTCATCCCCAGCTAGAGATGATGGGAGCTGCCACCCAACAGATCTTGAGGGTCATGGGATGAGGGAGACTGCCTAAAATTCGCGTTTTCACCATCCTCATATGTGTCTTACCCAATTTCGTTCAGTGTCTTAATGGAGTAGAGGATGATGTGCATCAAACTAATAGGTGGGCCAGATTGGAAGGAGCGGCTAATATCACGCAAGACAGAATCAGGATTCAAGGTTACCTTAAATGGCTGGAGAACTGAGACAACCAAGTGAAAATGAATTTCAGCTAGAATAAATTTAAAAGTTCTATATGAAGATTGAGAGGGGGAGAGAGAAATCCGTTGTACTAGTACAGGCTTGGTCCCAGTACATGTGAAAAAGATCTGAGGGACTTGAGTAAACCACAGGCTGACTATGAACCAACAGAGTGATATGGCAGCGTAAAAGCTAATGCAGTTCTGGGTTGCATCAACCAAAGTATAGTTTTCTAAATTAAGATTAAGTCCTATCAAGGCAAACACAGTGTAGTGTCAAGAAGAAGGTAACCAGGATGGTAAAATATCTAAAAATAAAGCCTTACAAGAAACAGTTGAAGGCACTGAACATGTGTCGCCTGAAGAGGAGAAGACGGACGGGTGTTATGGTAGCTGTCTTCAAAAGTTTTAAAGAGCTGTTCCATGAAAAATGGAGGGAGCCTCTTTTGGCTATTCCAGGGGGTATGCCCATGCCAATGTAAGAAATGACAAGAAAAGAGACTTCCAACTAAAAGTTAGGAAGGACTTCCTGAAGAAAAGAGCTGTTTGATAGTAGAACAGATTACTTTCTTTCACTGAAAGGTTTTTAAAAGGGGCTGGATAGCTACCGGAGAAGGATGCTTTAGCTATGGAGTTCATACACTGGTGGGGTGGACATGATAACCCTAAGATCCCTTATGCCTCTACAGTTCTGTGATCAACATTTCCTCTTACAGACATGTACCATCAATTTCTGGACTTTTGTATAAAACCTTTCCCCACTGTACTTGGGGGAGTTGTGCTAAGCTTGAAGAAGTAGAATTTTATCCACAAAAGTTTGTGATTTGCTTGATTTTTAGCAGTCCAATGAATAAAGGTGTCACCCGCTCTTCCAGTTCTGTGATCAGTCGGTCTGTCTTGTCTTTCCATAAGAGGTGGAAACAAACTGGGATATGACCTGTTATTAACAATGTCATGGCAAAGCAGGGCTGCCCTCTAGCGGCATTCCTATTCGTACTTCATGTTTTTTCCTATCTACAGTTTTGAATCAGTTTATTTAAGGAGCAACATGGCATAAATCAAGCATGCATTTAATATTTTTAATTTTAATGGCTGGACCTTAGCAGAAATGGAAAGTGGGACATCCTCAAGGCAGAGTTTTGGAAGGTTCACAGGAAAATGGCGCACACACTTACACAGGTCTGACTTCTGCCTGTCAGAATTTTTATCCATGTGTATATTTGGCAGTGCCTATTCTGGGGTGGGGCTAAATATCGGTAGCTCTCAAAAAATTCTCAACACTCTTGAAAAAAGACTAGTCTGAGGGTGGGGGAGGTTGTGGTAAGGAGGGAATAACAGCAATTAAATCCGGCATGTTGTGAGAATGGATGATGGTCAGATTCCAAAAGATCTCCTGTATGGTGAATTAGTGCAGGGAAATTGCCCCAGAGGGCGACCACAGGTGTGATACAAGGATATCTGCAAGCGGGATCTGAAGGCCTTAGGAATGGACCTCAACAGATGGGAAACCCTGACATCTTAGCGTTCAGCCTGGAGGCAGGCGTTGCATCACAGCCTCTCCCAATTTGAAGAGACCCTTGTCCAGCAGGCCGAGGCAAAGAGGCAGTCCTGGAAGCAGCAAAATCAGGGAGCTGGACGGGGTACAGATTGTATTTGTCTTCAGCGTGGAAGGGATTGTCACTCTCGAATCGGCCTCCTCAGCCACACTAGATGCTGTTCCAAGTCCTCCATACAGAGCACATTGCCATAGTCTCTCAAGACTGAAGGATGCGTAACTAACTATCCCCCAACTGCTGTCACTTGAGAGTTTGTTCCTGGAGTCCTCTGCTTTGGTGCCCTCCATATGTCTTGGACTGCAGCCCCAGCTAATATGGCCAGTGGCAAAGGAGGCCGAGCTCAAGAACTTTTGAATTTGGAGAGACTGGGTTATGTGGCAATGGAAATTCTGCTGTTCTAGTACCCCACAAAATATGCCATGGCCACAAAAGATATGCCAATGCAACTGCCTGGATGTGGCAGAAGAAGATAATTTGGCATGTCTGTGGTGTCTCTTTCCATCCACCCAACCTCAATCTTAAATGGCATCTATAGGATTGTTTGTTAAAAGTTAGTGCTTATGTGCCCTTCAGTTTATACTGCAATGTTAAATAATGGTTGTAGGCAAATTGCAAAAGCTCATTCAGCCACTGAAGAGAACCAGGATGGTTCTTACGATAGGAACGGTATCAAAGGAACTGTGGGGCAGTCCATCAACTTAAGAAATAATTAGTACAGCGTTTGCTATTCACTGTGCTGCGTAAAAGTTGACGGAACGGCATTATTGAATGCTGTGGCATGTTCTTCCCCCCCAACATTTCCTAAGGAAAGTCAGCATGGTTAGCTGTCTTCCTAACCTTTCCGTAGTAGGAAACGTTTGACCATGGGAGGCCTGCAAAGCTACATTCTGAAAAGTCCCAGGCCCAGGAGAACTTCACGGGTGTGCTTCTTTTAATTGTGTAGCATGTTCTTTTTAAAATTACGAAATCCTTGATTATTGGCTATGCTGGCCGGGGTTTCTGGGAGCCAGGATCTGAAACATTTAGAGGGACAATAGTCGAGATTTAAGAGGAAGATCCTTCAGCACCCGTCAGTCCTAGCTAGCACGAAAATGAATCAAAACTGATGGGTGTGGCTGTCCAGCAACTTCTGAATGGCCATAGGCTCTTAAGCCTTGCGTTGAGACTTCAAATGAACGGATTTAATAAATTGTCTTGTGTAATCTCATTATGATAGCAAACTACATTACAGGTAGCTTTTAAACAGAAGCGGGAATCATCAGTGTTCCAGGACTGAAATCCTGCTTTCAAACAAAGCCTGTGTTTAGCTTGAGAAGACCGGTCATAAAACAGAGCAAACTATGGGAGTTGTGACATGCTCCTGCTGTGACAATTGTATTTTCTTCCAGCCTAGTAAAACATCAACTCTAATGTCTAGTTTTGGCTCTTAAGACAACAAGACAGTTGAGGTTTTCCCCCTGGTTTCTAATAAGCACGCCTAACCTGCTTCTTCTTCTCCCACCTACCTGCTTTTTTTCTTCTTTACCAGATGCTACAACTGCGGCGGCCTGGATCATCATGCCAAAGAATGCAAGCTTCCCCCGCAGCCCAAGAAATGCCACTTCTGCCAAAGCATTGCCCACATGGTGGCCAACTGCCCTGTCAAAACGCAGCAGTCGCCCAGTTCTCAGGGAAAGCCCGCCTACGTCCGGGAGGAGGAGGAGGAAATGCACAGCTCAGCCCTTCTTCCGGAAACCAGGGAATGATGTCGGGAAACCACTAAGGGGTCAACGGGATTTATAGGCTTCAGGGCATCAAGTCAGCAAAACGGGGGAGCAGTCACCAGCCTCTGCCTCCAGATATAGGGAAGGCAGGCAACGGGAAGGTGTGCAGCAGCTAACCCCAAAATGGGACAAGTATTCAGCAGAGGGAAGACTGGATATTGTTCGCACAGGGTCCCTCTGCCTCATTTAGTCTTGGGACGAGATCTGTGGGCCTCATCTTGAAATAGTCCGTTCTGAGAAATTGGGGAGGCAATAGCACCTTCCACAGCCTTTGCTTTGTCCACCAATCAAAAGATTCAGACTTTTTAAAAAACATACAACCTTGAAGATGTGTGTGTGTGTGATTGAGTGAGAGACAAGAGACAGAGATTTAGCACAGCCATAAGGTAGTTACAGTTTTTTCCAAGTCCTTCAGCCGATTCCTAAGAATTTTCCTAAGAAAACGAGGCAGAACAAATAGCAATTCTGGCAGCCTTCTCCAACCTGCCATTCTCCGGCACATGGTTTCCCTGTACTTAGAGCTTCAGATTTCTTGACCTACACTTCCCAGAAGCCCTGCTTTGAGAACCACTGCTCTCGGTGGAATGGACTACAACCCCGTTACCCTTAGGTGGTGTGACTTTGCTAGTTGGACTTTATAGGATTGTGTCCCAGTCCATTTGGAGCATGCCAAGTTCGGGAAGGCTGCATTCTGCCTAAATGAAAACTTCTGAACTCTCCTTCAAGTGACAGAAAGAAATGTGTTTTCCCTTCCAGACCTAAGGAATTAGCAGGCTGTCCGGGACCCTGACTCTCACACTTTGCTTAAACTTCACATCTCTGGTGGGGACGGCACAGTTCAGACATGATATTGTTCCTTTTTTCATCCAGACAGAGTTGGCCAAAATATCTCCTCTCTTCCACACAAACGCACTACCAGCTTTACTGGGATTTCCTAGGTCTATATGGACAGCTTTAAAATGTGAGCTTTTGAGGAAATGTTATTGGCTCTTTTGTCAATGGAGAGTTTTAAAACAACTTCTTGCTATTTTCTTTTCAGCAGCTTGTTTTCAGTTGTGAGGCCTAAATTTGACCACTGGCATGTTGTGCTTTGTGTGTACACTCAGTACACCACTATATTCTCCACCTGTCTGTTTCTTCTCTCTGTCTCTCTCTCTCACACACAGACACACACAGACACATACAGAGAGACACACAGTAAATTTGTTTTATTGTTGATCATCTGAGGCTTCTAAAATCCCAGAGCCAAATTCAGCACGTGACCCACAGTATTGACTTTAAACATAAGCACAAGGGCTCCGAGTTTGAATCTCCCCTCTCAAAACCAAATCAAACCGACTGCTGCTGCCTTGCCCTGCCTGGTTTCTCTACCTCTGCCTTTAATTTATTTTGCTCCCGCGGACAGCTGGACTTGCCGTGCGAGACATGGGGAGTGGGGTTAGGGCCTCCCTCTCTGCTCTGAAGCTCTGTGGAGTAACCTGCACTACGACGTGCGTGTATGACGTATCTTTGGGTTTGTTTTCTTTTCGTTTTGGTAAATATTCTTTTGGTTGTTGGTTTTTTTTTTTTAAAAAGTATAAATATTCTGTTTTGTATTTTTGTATATTTTAATCTTTAAGAGAGAAAAAAAGAAAAAGGAAAAAAAAATAATAATAGAGGACATGATTCCTGCAATGTATTCTCAGGTATTCTAGCACATCTCAGGGATGAAGAAGCTCAGCAGCCTCTGGGGTGGTACAGTTGGGGACCTCTGCCAGGTTTTGTTTTTGATGTTGTTAACTTTCACAGCACAAAGAACAAGTCTTGTGTTTTAAAACTGTCGTTCGGCTTTGCTGTGCTTACATGTGGATGATGTTTGAAGATAATGGCATTTCAGCTTTCTCCAACCTGGTGCCCTCCGAAGGAGACTGGGGAGCATGGGAGTTGTAGTCAACCCATCTGGAGGGCACCCTGTTGAAGAAGGCCTGCTAGGTTTTGATAGTTCCCCCAACCCCATGTTCACATGAAGCTGAAAGGATTTGAGGCACGGTTCATGGGGAAGGGGGTACAATGTCCTCTTAAGATTTGCCATCGAAATGCAAACTCTTGTTCCTTGCAGAAGGGCTTATGCCAGAGAGCATCCTTACGGGGTTATCCTCGGGGGCAGCTGAAGACAAGTAAGCAAACAATAGGAGAGAATGATCAAGATGTAAATCTAAGGCGGCACTATCTGTGTTTCTTCATAGTTCCAGCGTCTAGGACGGGACACCTCTTCCCCCATTTCTGCTTTCAAAATTCTATCCATTTTTAATGTTTGTAGCGTTTCTTGATTCACCAGGTAGTTACGTATACAGTCACTTTTCATTGCCATACATTTGTGAAAGAGCAGGAGTAGGATTTGGATCTTATGCTTCAAGTACCAAAATACTTGAGGGTATTCATTCTGTCCATTTCATCTGTGCCCAAGTACAGCCTTCCGATGGTGTTTCTCGGTGCTGTTAAGAACATCACAAGAGTGTCGTTCTACTGTTGTAGCCAAAGAGTAGACATGAAAGGCAGAAGAAGAACCTGACATGAGAGTATCCAAGGTGTCTGAACCATAAGCCTCCATGTATTGGCGATGTATCATTATACTCTTGCTCCATTCTCTCTTCTACCACTGAGAGCAACTGCCTGAGATTTTCTCTTTAGTTGTCTGTGAAGAATGACCAGATTTAGCTAGCCCATCTAATAGGCAGAGTTAGGCAGCAGCAGAAAACTGTTGTCTGTCTTTACCTTTAGATCCCTCTTCCATTGGATGCAACCCATTTTTAATTTGCCAGCTGCAGCGGAGCTTAAACCAAACTAAATAACAGCTGTACCCATGGGATGTCTCATTCTTTCAGCAACGCCTTACTCTTGTTGGGGTTCCACCTAGGCTCCAGGTCAAAAGATTCCACGTGAAAAAAACCAAGAAGAAGGAATGGTGAAGCTGTTCCACAAAATCTGTTTGAGCCAGTTCTCCCCATTCTGGTAGGCCAGCCAGTGGTGACTCTGTGTTGGCTGGTGATGAAGAAAGTTGTAAGCCCAGACATCTAACAGGCATTGGTCCTTCTCTCAGATGTTGATGCAACAATAAGCTTCCACTCTTTTAAGCCCTAGATAGCTATTTGGCTGTGGGAAGACTTTATTTTAACACTCTGAACATAGAGTAAAAGTTTAAGGTCTGTTGTTTGGGAGGAGAGAGAAGAGTAATCAAGTCACAAATTTTGTATTGGATATGGAGAAGGTAAAACATCAAAGCCAAACATAGACTCTTGGCTACTCTTGACTCATTTCTCCTGGGTCAATCATCTGCCATGGTCCAGAATTCCTTACCAAAGAGATTGAATGGCTAGCCAGGGTGCAACATCATGACCATTACTAATTGCATTGAATTAAGTAGAACTGAGATCCATTAAAAAAAAAAACACAAGTTGCTTCTGGATTTAGTTGAACTTAAAAAATTGATCCAGTAAATTCTGTGGGGCTTAAGTTAGACGTTGATTTTCATCTTGTTGATTCCCATATGCTGACCTTTAAATCTTTCTGAATCTAGAACCAACTCGATGTCTTGCTCAAACTGGAGTTAAACATTTTCCCCCTTGCTGCATAGACTGCAAATATCTTGCTGATAGATAAGAAGAAAAAAACAACTTAGCTGAATTTGAGAGAAAATACATTGGCTAAGATTCAAGTTGCCAAAGGCCGGGAATGCCCCTTGGCTGCCCATTTTGCAGGAATAATGCTTGCAGAACGGGGGGACAGGAAACAGACAACATGTTGTTTTTGACAATGTCGTGGGGGGAATCTTTACCGTATCTACCTCAGGATAAATTCTCTGTGCCATTTGGGTTAAGTGCAGTGGAATACCTTGGTTTATTTACTTTGCTCTGGGTTAACGGAAGACATGATAGTTTCTCTAGGTATAACCAAAGCTGAAAATGCCACCCCTTCTACTTTTGTATCAGTCTCTCCCAAAAAAACAAAACCCACATATCATTGTTCCCCCTATTTCCTTCTAAATGTTTAGGATGTGTAAATATTTTATGTAAATTTTTCTGGTATCTTTCCAGTTTCCTCTTGGACAATTGTTTACAAACTGGAGAGAAAAATATAGCCAAAGCGTGTGATGGATATTTGCAACAGAATGTAGAGGAGTTGGAAATATACCTTTATGAAGACTGAATATCATAACATGATGCAACACAAAGCTTGGCCGGGGTGTGTGTGGACATTACCATTTGGACTACAACTCCCAGAATCCCTAACCAACATGGCTGTGGCTGGGGGGGATGCTGGGAGTTGTGATCCAAAACCATAAATTTTACGTTATTTTTTTTTCCTGTTACCTCAGCAATATTCAGATTAGGCTTTGTGAGCCAGAGCGCGTGTACCTTAGCTTATCATGATTGATTCCTTGTCCGATGACTACAGCATGATGTTGTATTCACTGTTCTTAAAAGTGAGCCACTTTGTACCTTGCCACTTTTTAGCACTGCCACATGAAAGCTAGTTAGTGGGCCCCTTTCCGATCTCTTCCCACAACGGGGATGACTGGGCTTCTCAGGTAACAGCGATTTATCGGTCAGCGTTGTTGGGTGAAGAGGTGAATTCTGCTGGTACTGTGACAGGGAGTTCCTCTGCCCTCCAGTTTGCAGAATCATTTGGGAGTCCTTAGGGATGTATCCTGGGCAGCGATGAGGAAAGTTACTTTGAATAACAACTCCCAGAAGTGATAACTCAAAGGTAACTTCATCTCTGGCTCTGGGACTGAAAAGAGGATTTCTAGAACTCAGGTCTTTTCAAATCAATCGCTAGCGTTAGACAGTGATGGACACTATGCATTTGGGGAATACAGTGTGAATCGCAGGGGGGGCTAGTGCTGTTCCTGCACTCAGGGTCACTGTGGAATATGGGGGGCATTGAANGGAGGGCAGGGGGCCAGTGATTTCTTGCGTGGCTACATACATGAGTGTGTATTAGGAGACAAAACGAATGTAACTTCATGTTTACTGCTAGCAACCAAAGCTTCTTTTGTGTCAGACTCTTGAATTTTTATGAAGCAAGGAGTGGGAAGGGAGGGCGGGGGGTGGGGCAGGGTTAGACTAAGAGGGTTGACTGTGTTGGGTTCTTTTGGATGGGGCGGGGTGGAGGATCGCGTCTGGGCTGCAGGACTCTTGTCCGAAGAAGCAGCTTTCCTGCTGATTATGTCTTGCAGTGATGTCAGAAACCCCCGTCGCTGCATTTTATTTCCTCTCCCTTATTATCATTTTTTGTACTAGTAATGGAAAACGATGGAAACCAATAAAGTTTGTGGAGAATGGACTCCAACGTTTCTCTTCCTTTCCGCCAAATGTTCAAGACTCAAAGGCGTGGCCCAGCATGCAGGGTGTTAGATCTGGGCATAGAATCAAATCTTCAGACTTAATTGAGTAGCCTTTTGGCAGAGCTTGAAGAAGCTCAAGTTTTGGGCTACAGCTCCAGAGTCCCCCTGCCGTGATGGCCAGCCATTTTTTTAAGGTAACATTTCCAAGCTTTGTCATTTGGAATGGGGGGAAAACACATTAGCAGAAGTACAGTCTCATTTGCCTAAGCTGAGATGGAGCAGCCTCAGTTTATTTTTCAATTCCAGATGGAAGAATCTGGCATTCAGCTACTTCTGTGCTTACAAGTCTTCATCACAGTTTTAAAAAACTTTTAACTCTATTTCCGAGATGGAGGCTTCTCCTGTTCATTTCTTCTTGTAGTCACCAGAAGTTCCTGGCCTTCTAAATTCTTTTACAGTAATTCAAAATGTGTGCCTTTTGCACCAGATACCAGTTGCTTGTAGTTGGGATTCTACTAAATGTAGAACCAACGTTCCTGGCCTTCTAAATTCTTTTAATTCAAAATGTGTGTCTCTTGCACCAGATACCAGTTGCTTGTAGTTGGGATTCTACTAAATGTAGAACCAAACAACTTCTCTTTGAGTTGCTTAAACCTTCTGCTTGTTTTGAGATCTAATAACATGGGACTGAGTAGAAGGTAGCTTAAGATCCGTGCCTGGGTTTGTAACTTTTATGAATTGTGCTTCCCAGTATATCTGTGAAGATTCTCAGTCATCCACGTGAGGTTACCTGGAAGTTGAGTCATGGCAACTGGACTTCTTTCTTGTTAGGCTGAAACATTTCGCTACTCATCCAAGTAGCTTCTTCAGACTGAGGAGAGTTGATATCAGGGGCCTTCCAGATGTACTTCCCAGTGTCTCCCAGCATTTCTGTTCTGGATCTGCCGGAATAACAATGTTTACAGCCAGCTGGTGAGAGTTACTGATTTCGAAGCCACTGCACAAATACTCTACAGCAGGCTGCCCTTGTGCTCTGTGCTGCCCTGTCGAAATGGGGAAAGCTTCGGGCAATCAGGGGTATTTGCATGAAAAGATGAGGAGTTCTGTTCTGTACACATATGTAGCTATAAGTTGGAATCAACTTGATAGCATGTTGTTTTGTTGTCCTTGTTATTATACAAACAGCTACCAGATTTAGTTATTTGTCCATCAAGACCTACTTGGTTTGCTCAAACTAACA